CCATAGTAGTCTTTGGCCCACCACTGCCGAAAAAAAAAAAAATATTTAACCAAAATTTCGAATGTGCTAGAAAGGATTAAAAAAATTTAATAAAATAATTAAAAAATACTCTGGTCTTTCCTCTTAGCTTAATAATAACATTTTAATGATAAAACTTTGTTTTTATCAAGTTTGGGACCTTTTTTCATTATGGTATGATCTCTTTTAGCAAAAATGTGGAGATACTTACTTTAATGATATCTGGATGAACAGAAAAATCCCCAACATATGGAAACAAGCAACAATTATCCACATCCCCAAATCAGATAAAGACAAACTAGAACCACAAAATTATACAGCAATAGCCTTTACAAGCTGCATGACCAAAACCTTTGAACAAATGGTAAATAAAAACTAATCTGGTTCCTAGAGTCCAACAGACTTATCACAGACTGCCAATATAGTTTTCATAGTGAAAGAAGTATAACAGTCCTCTTAATTCAACTGGAAACTTTTATAAAAGAAGCTTTCATCAAAAAAGAAGCTTTCATCAATAAATGCCATCTTTTTTTTATATTAAAAAAGCATATGATAGTGCATGAAGGCATGGAATAATCTACAAAAAAAAAAAAAAAAGATCTACATGACCCAAGAGGAAGACTACCCATACTGATAGCCATATCAAATAGGAACTTTAATGTCAATATAAGGTTCACTCTATCAAACCTCCACAAGCAAGAAAAAGAAATCCCTCAAGGCCACATACTCTCTGTCACTCCATTCGGCATTAAGATCAACAAAATCATCAAATGCATGAAGCCTGAAATTGACAGAACTCTATATGTAGATGACTTACTAGTCTACTGCAAATATATGCACAATTGAAAACCAATTACAAATGAAAATAAAATCAACAAATGGCTATCCGAAAATTGATTCACATTATCAAAAACTAAATACATACATTTTTACCAAATGAGGGAAATCCACTTGGGCCATGTTCTTAAAATAGGTAATACAGTTACCATTTGTTGAACAACAAATTCCTTGGGATGATATCTGACTAAAGATTAACCTTCATCCCCAATTTAAAATGCTTAAAAACAACTGTAATAAAGACCTACAAGAGTAAAAGCACAGACTGGCGAGCTAACAAAAAAAATTCTTCTTAAAATATACAGATCAACAATCTATGCAAAACTTGATTATAGAAGCTTTATATATAGATCTGCCAAACCATCATATCTAAAAATACTCAACACAGTCCAAAATTAAGGGACATCACCAAATGAAAGCCTACCTACCAAAGTATATGAAATGCTCCTAAACCTCAGAAGCCAGAAACTAGCCTTCCAATACATAACCAAACTTAAATTCCGCCCCAAAACCCAGCCTATGCTATGAATGTACTTTCAATCTTAAATACTATTTGTTATTTGATAATAAAAAGGAAAAGTATCAAAACATTTGAACTCTGAATAGAACCTCTTATCCAGACATCAGAAATTAACATTCAAAATATATACATAAGAATATCTCATCTGACAACCCACCCCCCTCACTGGATGATCACAATACCTGAAATTATACTAAGCAAAAAGCCCAAAAGAGTAACCAACCCAATAATATACCAAGAAGAACTAAACAACATCAGACTACATTACCCCAACTACAATGAAATTTACACCAACAGATCCCAGAACAATAACAATACTGGATGTGCTGCTACCATAAAAAATCTATACACAAAATTGTCTACCAAAAGAAGCATCTATATTCAGTGCAATAAATCTGGCCCTTGACCTTATTTTGGGAGAGCAACAAAACCAAATTCATTATTTTTTCAAATTCAATGTCAGCCCTTACATTGATTAAAAATAGGAAACAAGGAAACCTGCTGCTAATCAAAATACTAAACAGACTTCACGCAATCATTTAAAACAAAGATTCTGCACTGCTGGGTTCCGAGCTATATTGGAATTTGTGGGAATGAAAAAGCTGATACAGCAGCTAAATTGGCACTAAATCAAGGACATGAAGAACTTAAAATTCTTTATTCAGATTTATTCAATAAGTATAGAACCCACAAATGGTAAAAAGAATGGAACAAATACATAAACAATAAATTACAAAAGAAGTAACCAACCATTAAAGAATGATCCCTAGGACACAGGAAAGAGGAGGCAGCCCTGGTTAGGCTCCAAATTAGCCATCCCATCTCACACAATTACTTAAAAATGAACCACCTCCAACATACAACAAATGCCAACTAACCCTCACAATAAAATGCATATGAAGAGACTGTAAAGAACTTAAACAAATTGGATTAAAACATTATCAGATACAGAACATAAAAGATCTCTTTGAAACCACAGAACTCAACATTTTGAACTTCCTAAAAGAAATAAATCTTTATATAAAAAATTTAAAATAAAAAGAGAACCCATCACTCACATGATACAAATAACAAAACCATGCACTGCTTTAACTTTCAAGCAGAACAAAATGTAAATACAACCAACTTAAATTGTATTAAATTGAGGAAGAGTGTTGAATTATTAATGACTGTCAGTCTACCAAGAGTTATCTGCTCTTAGTTTTGGTTATCTTCTCTTCTCTTTTTTTTTACACAGTCCCTAATGTAAATAAAGCGTTCACCTCGTGTGTGTGTTAAGTAAAACATGTCTATGTGGTTTTTATTAAATTTGTCTTCCAGTCTGAAGTATCAAGTCTAATCAAAACAAGGTATGTTTCGATCTGATTGATTCTTGACTTTATAATTTTCCTTTTCAATGGTTATGGGCCCAGGCGACATCTCAAAGATAATAAGCCACGTGGGACCTTTATTTTAGCCATCTTGAATTCTCGGTTGGGGTAGAAGTTTTTGTATTGCTTTATAATGTGTAATGGCGATGGAAACAAAACTTAGTAACCTCGTACTGGAAGTCTGTAAAACATATCACGTGTTACCTAAACGGTATGCGAGGGCATGGTTTATTATATGACAAGGAGAAAGCAACCAATATCCTGGGGTACTCAGATGCAGACTGGGCTGGTGATTTAGATGATCGCAGATCGACCTCCAAGTACTTGTTCAAATTAAGTGGAGTGGCTGTCAGCTGGAGAAGTAAGAAGCAAATCTGTGTTGCATTATCGACAGCTGAATCAGAATACATGGCATTGGCAAGTGCGGCACAGGAGGCAGTATGGATGCAGCGTCTTCAAGGTGATTTAATAGGAGCTTTAGTTGAACCGACACTGATATACGAGGACAATCAATCAACAATATGTATGGCAAAACATCCACAATATCATGGATGAGCCAAACATGTTGACATTAAGTTTCACTACATTCAAGAGCAGGTGGAGATGAAGACTATTAAACTAGAGGACTGTCAGAGCAAAGACATGATAGCTAATGTGCTGACAAAAGGACTTGTGAGCACACAATTTGTGAAGCTCAGAGAACTGTTAGGTGTTAGAGAACTGATATAGTAGTCTGACAGCAATTGAGGAGGAGTGTTGAATTATCAATGACTGTCAGTCTGTCAAGAGTTATCTGCTCTTAGTTTTGGTTATCTTCTCTTCTCTTTTTTTTAACACAGTCCCTAATGTAAATAAAGTGTTCACCTCGTGCGTGTGTTAAGTAAAACATGTCTATGTGGTTTTTATTAAATTTGTCTTCCAGTCTGAAGTATCAAATCTAATCAAAACAAGATATGTTTTGATCTGATTGATTCTTGACTCCTTTTCAGATTGAAGGGCCGTTAAATACACAAACCAAACAAACAAACATACCAGTCTGAATGGAAAGGCATATAAAGATGATTCATACTCTCAAAAGTCTTAAGAAAATCATTTTGTATTGTATACGTACATATGTGGGAAAATGAAATAATAAAAGAAAAAATAAATACATTTTCACCTGATGAACCGGAAAGGATTTTTGGTCATCTTCACAATTTAATGATCCAACTTCTGAAAAGGACAGAACCACACTTTCTTGCCAGTTCCCAATGCATAGCATTCAAATGTGTTTTGCAGAACAGCAACTGATGAAGTAAGTACAACCTTTACTTTTGTTGTTCCAACTCAGCACAAAGCTGACTTAAGTAAGCTCAACCATTATAACCATTCTTATCATTACCTACCCTAACTTACTTCTGGACTAGAAAAAGAAAATGGACATGTCAAGAGACATTGAGAACCTTGTTTCCCTAAAGTTTAAAAAAAAAAAAAAAATTAAAGGAAAGGTCTGTAATCGAAACCCAAGTTTTTGTTGCTTCTTCTTTAATGTGAACACACACGCATATATATGCATGCTTTTAGACTAATTTATTCATTTATGCAATTCATTTTTGTTTAATGATGTCAACATAAAAACTAACCATAACATTAATAAAGTGAAAAAGAAAAAAATTTTTCATAAAGTTTAACAAACAAATGTTCATGAATACAACATTGAGATATTAATAGATAATTCAGCATAGTGTCTCAATGCAGATAAAAATATATTGTTTCTCACACCTCAAAATTACTGGTTAAAGACAGATTTTCTGTAGTATCTCTATATAATCTAAATTTCATAATGATTTTTTAAATAAAAAACAAACATTTTATCTGATTTTCTTTTTGGCAGGAGCACAGATTTAAATCTGGTAATATTTGCAAAATTATTATTAGAAAAATATATTTAGATAAAAAGTTTAGCTGAAATTATTTTAAACATTATAAGCAACACATTTTCATGCAAGTTCATTCTTCAATAATTTAATATTAAAAGTAATAATTCTCCTTTTTATTGTGTGTGCACAAGCCAACATTTCATAAATGAAAACAAAAATATCATCTAAAATGTTAGTATCATTGAACAATTATATTAAATGATAAAAATGTGGAATATATGAGGCAAAACGTTTGATTATACATCAAGGTAAAGCCATTTTAAGTATTTACCTCACTGATAGAATGATTTTAAAGAGGAAATAAAATCACTTAGATATGGATAATACAATTCCATGTCAATTAAAAAAGTCCACATCTAAAAGTTCATCTGGAAGGAATGTCTGTTTAGCTGATGGATCATTAGGAGTGTAGATGTAATTCTTGCCATAATCTATTGAAAATAAAAATAAAGTAAGAGCAAAGTGAGGCATCACTAAGAGTATAGATTTAGTTCTACTACATTGTCAGATTTTATTGCATAATTTTTACACTATAAAATTAGTAATAACCAAATGATGTTGGTCACATTTTCAGGCAAATATACTATGTGAATTTCAGCTTATATGTATTTTTGTTAGAAATATTTACAATCAGTTATTTGGTGGTGTTAGATTCTATCATGCAACTTGAAGATTATTCATATTGTCAGATTTTATTATACAAGTTAATGTTTTCACAATAAAATTGGTATTAATGAACTGATGATGGTAATATTTTCTGGATATACTGGGTGTAACAACAATATTGTCCAAATAATGTTACAGCATAATAGTCCACCCCACAAAATGTTTAATATATAAAAAAACACTAAACTAATTGAGTTTCTTTTTTCCAGATTTTCAGATAAGACGTTTAGCCATCTTGACACCATTTGTCATAAGAATCACTGAAAAACCAATTGAGTTATTCAGCTAAAAAGAGAGCAGGTTAAAATTGTTTTGTGTCAGGCCCACTGTCTTCCCAAATGAGCAATGGTGAGAGAAAAAAGATCATTCAGAACCTTCACTAATGGTACCAACATTCATACTTTGGTTTTCATCTTCAAAGTTCATTCAAGAACCATCAAAGAGTTTAAAAAAAAGGGGATAGTAAAGAGGAAAACTGAATCAGGAGGTCACAACAGGAAGAGAGATTACCATTTCAACTTAAAGCTACAGAGATCAATTAGAAAAGATCCAACTCAATCCATAACATGCCTGGTATGTGAGAGAAGATTTTTGCCCATGACTGTCCAAAGAGCAGTAAAAAAAAAAAAAAAAAAAAAAACTTGAAAATGAAATTGTACATGAAACATGTGAGGCACCATGTTACTCCAGGACAGAAAGTTAGAAGGTTAGAGAGTTGGAAAATGATCCTGGAATGATATATATATATATATATATATATATATATATATATATATATTTGAACTTCATTTCAATCTTTCATGAGCTTCCAATCCTTAGCTATGATTAATTAATGATGAATATGTCATTTTCATTTATGATTGAATTCATCGTGATACTTCTGTTAAGCTTAGAGAAAATTATAAATTCTTATTGCTCGAAGTAGAGTCCAGTACTGTTAAAAAAAAAAAAACTTGGAGAATTCCAGTAAGGTATCTTTAATCATTTCTAAGATACAACAATTCAGAGCTTAATCTAAAAATTGGACAATTTTGCTGTTACACCTATTATTTATATCAGTGATATATCAAGTCTCAATTTATATCTATCCTTAATAAAGAATACTGATAACAACTAGCAGCTGTTGTGTTTTATTATATAAACTAAGTGCAACATAAAATATTTATAAATAATTCTAAACAATATCATCCATAAAAAATATACATTTAACACAATGTCCCATATACCTGAATAAATTATTTATTATTTTACATGGAAAATGGAGTTGCTTATCAGTCTATAATCTTAATGTTTCATCCATTGATTTTATTAACTCCTCTGCTATGTTGATTTTAACATTACTAAAAGCAGTTTTTATTGCTTTGCAAAGATCTTTGCTTGACTAGTTTTTCATTCTCATACACATCTCCTTTTAATGATGGACAATAAGTTTACTTTAAGATTAATATCTGGAGAAGCTAGATTGATTGAGTTTCTTTCCTGTGGTTTATCATTTATTTGTGGGTAATTTAAAACTGAAGCATTTTCTTGGATTGCAAGAATAATTCTTATTCCACAAGTGAATTTTGCATCAACAATTTAAAAAAAATAACCGATTTTTCCAGATACAAGTCAGGCTATTTAACCCATAGCTGGGGGAGGTAATAAGTTCATACCTTTTCCAATGGTATTTGTGCATAAGTTAATGTAATGAACCTGACTGGAATTTAAACTGATATCTAATTCTAAGCCACTATTCATTATTTCACCCATACATCCCTGGAGAAGCAACTATTATATTAATTTGGTATTTTTTTAACTTTTGTTTTAACAATGTGGGCAATTATATGATTTTCAAAAAGTGAAGGAGCATTGTCTTTAGCTTAAATCTTCTTGGTTATGTCCTGTACAACTCAAAAAAATGTATTGTCCAAGAATTTATAATAATTCTCTGCATTTACCATCATCATTGATGAAGGAACCCATAACTTTATTGCTTACTATACTAGAACAAAACATTATTCTGTCTCATTCCTATTGTCTTCTAAGATTGGTTGAGTGATTATTTGCATCATCTCCATCCAATGTATTCATCAATAATAATAATTGAGAAATCATTTTTCATGTACTTCTTTGCTAGAGAGGTTTTTCTTTGTGATGTTAACTAAAAGGTGTTTGTTTGGTTACCTCCATGCCTTAAATCAAAGTTTTTAATATTTTGCAATTTCAACTTTGTTTACATTCAGAACACCTGTTTCTTCAAATATTTTCTTGCTTATTACTCTTTAAATTTTTCTCACATCTCTTTTTGTGAAATTCTTAAAGCTAGTTTCATCTTCTTTTTTTTATCTTGTCAATGTTTTCAATTATTTTTTAGATTGTTCTTTAATCTGTTGAACTTTTTTTTTGCAAGTTCCAACTTTGTGGTCCCAACATTCAATAACTTTTTATCTTATTTCTCTTTTGATTTTATATCTTTCTAACAACACATAGCAATTTTTATATATTTGAAATATAAAAACAACATATCAATATATATATATATATATATATATAATGAATACAGAATCCTTAAAATTCCATCAGGTCAGATAATAATTTATTTTGTGGACTTCAAACGTCCATCTCTTTAGATCAGTTTTACAAAAATAAATGGAGTTCAATTTATTCAGACATAATGAAAAGGAAAAGCATGAAGAGAGAGAAAAAGGAAAAAGTTTTAATATTAAAAGGGGAAAGAAAAAAGGGGGAGAAAGAGATTTCAATATATGGTTTTTTAGGTGGAAGAGAAAGAGAGATAGACATGGGGAGGGAGTGGGAAAGAGAGGAAAGAGGGAATTAAGTAAGTCGACAGGGTAACCCAAAAAAGATTTTTTCTTCCAGGATTTGACAAAAAATTAAGTAATCATATTCAAAGTAGCTACATTGAAATTGTCTAGTCATTTTAACCAGCAAAACTATCATCATTGCATTATAACCATCACAATTACAAATTGATAATAGTAATAATAATAAATATTAATAAAATATTTAACATCAATATAAAGAAATAACATAAAATTAAAAACAACCTTCAAAAATTTTGATTAACTTAATAAAGAGATAAGTAAAAGACCATTTTAAGTAACTAAAAACTTAAAAATGCAGACATATATATATATATATACACACACACACACATATATATATATATATATATATATATATGCATATACACATACACACATCCATACATAAACATATACATACCCACATACATATAAATATATGTTGATAATAATAAAAATGATAATAAAATCATAGATAAAGAGAATAAAATTAATTCATAATTTAAGTTTATAACCAATGTAGGCAAGAAAACCACATAAATGATCATATATATAAAAACACTGTGAATGTATGCGAGATGAAAAATATCCAACACTTCAAGTATAAAATTCTCCAAAATTAATGTTATTAGGGAATTTTAAAATGGTTCTTATGTCTACACTTGAAGATAATTTCATTTCACTGGTTCAATAATTCATCAGCATTTTTATACTTAATCATTATAATTTTTTTTTAATGCATAGATTTGCATCTGTCCCTGAAGTTATTGGGAGTATGTGACTGACAGATGATCCTCCATTTTATTTGTGGAGTGAAGCCTCCATCTTTAAGATTCCAGTAAGGTTTAGATAGAGCAATTTGATATCTTAAAGATGCATTGGTGAAGGAATGCGAGTGATTGTAAAATCTTTGCTTCCGACTCCCAGCTGATATCCCTATGTATACCTTCTTCTGACTGATATTTTCCTTTGGAAAAATACTAGCTTCGTATACTGCATTTTCAGAAATACAAACGTTTCCAACTGGGCAGTTAGTTCCAGTTTTACAATTACAAGGTTTATTTTCTTGTGTTTCACTGTCATAAAACTTCTTTAATAAAAGGTTATTGTGTGAATTAATTATACTGTGTATATTACTAGTACAGGAATAACTAATTTTTAGGGTTTTTCTATCAAAAAGTTTTCTTAAATGATTGTTGTGATTGAAATGTTTGTCATTAAATTTTAAAAATACCTGCCAATATTAATGTTAGATAATTTATAGAAAGGTGGGTTAAAACATATTGTCTTTCTTTTTCTGTTTTTGGTTTTATTAGTTGGATTGTTTTTCAAAGTTTCCTGGTAACTTAATTCTCATTTGAAATTACTTTTTTGAGGGCCTCATTATAAGTTAAATTATTTCTCATTGAAGATTTTACTATCAGATGATAATCTATTAATTCTGGTGTTTACAGTGTTAGGGATTTGATTAATTATTGACTTAGGGTGATTGGAGTTGACATTAATATAATTGGGAGTTTGATTTTCATTATGAAATGGTTTGAATGTGTTATTAGGCTGAAAGTGATATCTGAGAAATTAACTATTTTAAGGTTAGATGAGATTTCAATTTTTAAAACCCAGAAAATGGAAAGCTCTTATAATCTTTTTCTTTATTCTAGAAGATAGAGGACCATTACTATTTCAGATAAAAATAAGCCCATCATCTTTGTAAAGACCTACTTGAATAGGGGTCAATAATACTGAGGGTGTCTAATATATATATAACTACTAAATCAGCAATCATGAGCAGAATCATATGCTCCTATAGGAACATAAAAGTTATCATTAAGATGTTTAACCCAAGTGAAATTGCTACTTTTTTGTTTCCCCTTTTAATATTAAAACTTTTTCCTTTTTCTCCTTTTTTTCATTTTAATTGTGTCTGAATAAATTGAACTCCATTTGTTTTTGTAAAACTGCTCTGAAGAGATGGACATTTGAAGTCCACAAAATAAATTATTACCTGACCTGATGGATTTTGAAGGATTCTGTATTCATTATTATATTTGCTCTGTTCTTACATTGAGCTCTCTTTGGAGTAATGTCCTCCTTGGAATTATTCCTACTAATCATGAAGTGATAAAATATATATATATATAAATATAAAAGTGAACATAGAAGTCAACACGAGTGCCTGACGATTGCATATAGCATGAAACAGACTGTCGCCTCTAAGCGTTGACTTCTATGTTCACTTTTATATTTACATACGCTCTATCTCTGATATTGAGCACTTTATCCTATAAATATAGCACATCTTATGACTATATTTCTTCATATATATATATGTGTGTGTGTGTGTGATAAAAATAGGAAATGTATATCAATCTAACATGTTTCACTTTTATTAAAGCTTTGTCAGAAATTGAGATTATTTATATATATATATATATATATATATATATAAATAGATTTACAATATAAACACCTCTTAAGTTGCATAATAAATCTCACAACACTAAATAAATTATTGCAAATAATTCTAATAAAAACAGTGTAAGCTGAAAAACATGTCCAACTGCTAAATGTGCTGCTTCTGAATTATATGACTCACCACTATGTAGTATTCCAGATATATCTGAACTTATTTTAAACATGAATTGATATTAGAAACTAATAGCTTCAAACATATACTGTAATTCAAATAATATATCCATATGTATTGTGTGGATATATAGATGTGTAGGTAGCATAAGAGTTATCAGCACAGAAAGTATTAGCATAATTCAAATTCCAATGAATTCTGCTGCAATCACATAAATGCCATTGGGAAAGGTATGAATCCATCTTGTCTCACTAAAACAATGGATTAAATAGTGCAGTAGACAAGGTTCTCTATCTTTGGGTGTCAGCAAGTAAAAGACAAGGACAATTCTGATTTCCAAACCATGGAGAAAGCAACAGAAAACCACTTCACTTTCCAAAATAATCATGACAATTCACAGGTAAAGAAAAGGAATGTGAAAAGGCATGGTCACCTATATCCTGAAGAGGCACAGAATTAAAAAATCAAAAAAGTGGTGTTAACGGATAATGAATACTAAAAAGTGTTTTACAAAAAATGTTCTGTGAAGGAGAAAAATGGTTTTCCAGTTTTAATTCAGCATCCAAAAATATATAAGATCACCTTTAATAACCAAAACAATTTTTTCAATGTATACCTATGTTGGATGTCCTTTCAAAATTGATAATAGCTCAAGATAAATGCAGAGAATTCTTATAAGTTCTTGGACAAGATATTTTTGTGTTGTATAGGTCATAACCAAGAAGATTTAAGCTAAAGAGTATATTTATGCAAGACAATGCTCCTTCACTTTCTGTAAATCTTATAATTGCCTATTTTGTTAAAAAGGGTTTCCAACCTCTCCAGATATTAATCTAATAGAAATTTTACTGTTCATCATTAAAAGGCGAGGTATATGAAGAGGGAAACTATTCAAGCAAAGATCTGTGCAAAACAATAAAAATTGCTGCAAGTAAAATGTTAAAGTTAGAAGAGTAATTTTTTTTAAAAAATCAATGGACAAAACTCTGATGAAGATTATAGAATAATGAGGAGTCCATTTTTATATATGAAATAATTAATAATGATTTGTTCAGGTATATGTCATATTGTACAAATCTTTCAAGGGCACATTTCTTTTGTATTAATTAATAAAACTTTGTTGCACTTAGTTTGTGTAATAAACCCTAATGATCCCAAACAAGTTAATATCAATATTTTTACTAAGGATAGATATTATAAGCTGAAAGCCACCTGATATATTGCTGATATGAATATGTCAGGTAAAATTTTACCAACATCAGTTGGTTAATACAAATTGTGAAAACAAAATCTAACAGTGTAGGTATAAATACAAATTAAAATCATTAGTTATTTTTTAATTTGAACATATATTTTAATTCATAACGATAAAATTCAATTCTGAATTGTTTACCCTTGTGTTCAGCTTTTTAAAAAACATTTCCAATAGCTCATTATTCAGCATTCATTTTTTATTCCACAGATTTTTTTTTATTTAAGTTTTTTATCTCATTTATGTCACTAATACAATATTAAAACTTTTTAGTTCAAGAAACTAGCAATCTATCAGTAAAAAAGAATTACAATCATGACTGTTTTTATAGACTATTTGAATTATAATTATTGAATATGGTTTTATATATTAACTTATATATAATGGTTATGTTGTACTAAATAATTTCTTGAACAACTTCTTGACCTTTGACCATGTAGCTTAAGTCTTAAATACTAGAAAAACAAAACTAACAAATTCAGCGAGATACTCAGGAAATAAATGTAGCTGTGATAATCTATAAT